CCACCCGCACCTGGGAGGCGGCGCAGGCCCCAAAGGCCCCCAGGATGACGTCCACCACGCGCTGCGAAGTGAGCACGTTGCCGCCCACCACGGCAGCCTCCGGGGAAGGGTCCAGGATGGAGCCTTTGGGAATCACGACGCGGACCGGAACCAGGCAGCCCTGTGCAGGGCGGGGCCAGCTCTCAGGGTCAATGGGGAGATCTATGTCCCGGCCACCACCCGCAGCACCTCGAGGATCCTCAGCCTGTTATTGGGCTGTTGGGCTGGCTTTGCCCCGGGCCTGCTCAGGGTGACCTGGGCTTAGGGCCGACCCGCTGACCTCACACACGGGACACGCCTGCACACCTGGTTGAGCGGAATGTCGCGGCCCACCAGACAGCGCAGGCAGTAGATGAGCGCAGACAGCGTGATGGCCCGCGGTGCGTTCAGGTTGCCAAACACTTCAGGCCCCGTGCCGCTGAAGTCAAACACCGCGCTGCCCTGCCCACCGGAGGGGAGCGGGGAGAGGCCATCAGCGATAAGGGGGCCATGCCACCGACGCCCCACCCCCGGGCCCGGTTCGGCAGCCGCACCTGACTCAGGTTGATGTGCACGCGGAGTCTGATGGGGGAGCCATCGTCCATGTGGTCCTCGGCAGACACCTCCAGAGGCAGGCCCCGGGCCTGCCGGGAGGACCCGAAGGCCCGAAGCATGTCCCGCACGGCCAGCTCCGCGTTGGCCTGGCAGGCAGTATGTTGAGAGGCAGCCATGTCACCTTCCGGGTGGGGCAAGCACCCCCTCCCCTCCTAGCTGCCTTGGGCTGGCACAGAGCTGCCCCTGCTCGCGCCCCAGACCCACCTGAATGTGGCCCATGTAGGCCTGCACCACATCCAGGCCGTACTGCCCGATGAGCTCCCCCACCAGCTGGATGCCCTTCTGGTTGGCTGCCACCTGGGCCCGGAGATCTGACAGGTTGTCGTGCAGGTTCCGCGTCCCACTGCAGCCGGGAATCTTGCCTGGGGCCTGCAGGGCCTCGGTGACCGCTGCGTGGACGGAGTCACCACTGAGCCAGCCTCCAAGCCCGGGGGCTGCCTGGTGCCCTGCTCTCCACCTGCTGCACCCCAGCTGGGCGCTGTGGGCCCCATGTTGGCCCTTCACGGGCCCCCCACAGCCCTGCTGACTCCTCCAGCGCCCTGAAAACCCACTCCTCCCTCCACCTGCTGAGCCATCTCCTTCCCACACCTCAGCCCCCCACAAGCCCCGGAGCCTGGGGCAGGCAGGTGCGGGGCGGGGGGTTGTCAGGGCATAATTGTCCCTCAGCAAAGTCTCCTCCCTCCTTCGCTTCCTCCTGTCCTGCCTCCTCACCTCCTGGGCCCACTCTTTTCAAGCTTCCTCTGGTCCCACCTCCCCTTTCCCAGGGAAAAAAACACTTCCTTTGACCCTCCCCCACTCACAGGGCCCTCATCCCTGTAGCCCCCACTCGCCCCCAAGCCAATCGCTTTGAAAAGAGCATCAATGTGGCCGTCTGTGCAGCAACCCCCCCCCCCCAACAATCGCGATGAAGACTCCAGCCCCCAGTAAACAGTGCAGGTCCTGCCCCAGGGGCCCCTCCACACCAGGAAAGCCCCCCTAGAGTCTAGGTTGAGTCCTCTCTGAGGACCCGGCTGCTGGGTCCTCTGCCACCTTCCTGCACGTGTCCCTCCCATGATCCCTGCCCGCCCCCCCCAATCCCCGTTGACCAAGGGAGCAGCCAAACCTAGGCCACTCTGTTCGGGTCCTGGGCAGCCCGTGGCTCTGCTACCCCACCCTCCATCCTGCCCCGTCACTTCCTCTCACGCTGGGATGCGCCCTGGGCTCTCAGACCCCTACAGCCTCAACCCTGCTCTGTATTTCCCTTTCTAATATATTTTTATTGATTTCAGAGAGGAAGGGAGAGGGAGAGAAACATTAATGATGCGAGAGAATCACTGATTGGCTGCTTCCTGCATGCTCCCTACTGGGGATCGAGTCCGCAATCCAGGCATGTGCCCTGACCTCCAATTGAACCGTGACCTCCTGGTTCATAGGTTGATTCTCACCCACTGAGCCATGCCAGCCGGGCACCTGCTCTGTATTTTTGCTGCTCCTCCCTCCTGGGCCCCACTGCCCCTCGGTCCCACCATCCCCGCAGCAGCTGCTCTGTACCCCCTCAGAGCCAGAGCTCCATCCTCCGGCTGTCCAGCAGACTCCATTGTCCCCCACCCCCAAATCCCATCAAATACCAACCCCGACCTCCAACAGTTGTCCCCACTCTGTCCTCGCTGCCCAGTGTAAGGCTCAGCACCCCCAGGGTAACTGCAGCTGCACCATCCCACCCCCTTGGCCCCCCTCCACTCTGCATGTGGGCAGGGGGCACAGGCAGACCAGCGTGCACCTGGCTGGGCCTTTCACAGCCGCCGCGGCCCTACCACCCGATGACTTAGACCTGGGCCTTCTAAGAGCCTGCAGCCCCCAGACGCGGTGCCAACCCAGGGCAGATGGCAAACACCTGGACACAGGCTCCTTGCCCTCCTGCCCTGGTCCCTGCAGTATCTTGGCCAACTCGCGGCCCCTAGGACCACCAAGGCCCTCCTTCCCGGGCCCAGGCAGAGCTCAGCTCAGCGCCACCTGCTCCCCCAGCCTCAAGGCAGGTCTGGGCCCCTGGGCTGTGCGGTCTGGCTGGAGGCAGCAGCCCACTGAATCCCCAACGCCGGCCCCAGGCCCACTCCCACTCACCCTCCTCCTGGAACACGCCTCCCTGGACAAGTTTAAACGACAGAAAGACAGCGCCCTCCTGCTGCAGGGCGGTGGAGTGCGGGGGCATGGAGCCTGGGGTGATGCCCCCAATGTCGGCGTGGTGCCCGCGGCTGGCCACATAGAACACAGGTCGAGTCTGACCCGGCCAGAACACCTAGGAGTGGAGAGCGGCAGTCAGCTG